AATGAATGGAAAGGGTTTTGAAAATCTAATTCCCTTTCTTTTTGCCTTTTCACTCTGCCACTTGAGCAATGCTTGTCCAACCCAGCAGTGATAATATCAGGCATTCAGGATTCCCCACCCTAACCTGCAGCACTGTGACAGAGTGAGATACAGCGTGTGCCACCGGGGGAGGTGGGCAGCATTCAAAGGAGCCTCTTAGGTTTCCATAGTCAAGCAGTTAATTAAATACATACAGTTTGCCCTTTGTCTCTGTGGGTTCCTTATCCACAGATTCAAATAACCACAGACTTAAAATGTTTAGGAAAAAAGCTTGCATCTCTGCTGAATATATACAGATGCATTTTTCTGTCTTCATTCCCTTAATGATACGGCAGAGCAACTATTTACATAGCATTTACCTTGTATTGGGTATTATAAGTAATCGAGAAGTAATACATGGGGCAACCTGAATAGGTTATATACAAATAATGTGTCATATTATACAAGGGACTTGGGAATCTTAGGTTTTGATGTCTTAAGGAGCACTTAGAACAAATCCCCACGGACCCTGAAGGTGATTGTATTGTGTAAAAAATATCTCTTGGCACATCAAACTCCTAATTTCAATGGAAGTATAAAATCTTTTTATAAAATAATGTTTAAATTTTTCCTTTCTCTATACATCTAACTAAACAACACAAAGCAATTCAAAGAAAATACACAACTTTAAGTAGATGGTACTAGTCTTATGTATAAATTTTAACTTGTATTATGTAAAAAATAGTAGTTGAGTTACTAAAATTGACTTTCTGACACACTGACCTATGGATGAGTGTCTGAACTCCTAGACTGTCTTAGATATCCATCATAGCCTGGCCCACTATTCATTTTCAAATTCCATGCAATGCTGCTGGACGCCATATTTCTCCCAAGATGCCTCAGCTTGCCGAACCTGCATGCTTCTTTATGCCCCAGGGCCTTTCTACATGCCATTTCTTTATGGCTAACAGCCTCTTGCTCATCTTTTTCACCCAGTGAACCACCTTTACGCTTATAACCCAGCTCAGCTGTCACCTCTCTTAGGAACTCTCCTCAGTCTTAACAGGCAGAACTCCCCACTCTTTTGTTGTTTGTTTTTTTTTCATTTTTAATTAGTGCATGCTATGGTTTGTGTTTGGGTGTCCCCCTAAAGCCTCAGGCTTTTTCAGAAGTGGCTGAGTCTAGAATTCAATTGATTCATGGTGGGACTAGGCCCAGGGGCACTGGGATTAAGGGCATAAGTGCTGCCCACCGTAAGTAGTCTGAATAAGATAAAGGGCACAGAAAGACACTGTTAAGGTCCCTTGTTGCTTTTGCTACCTTCTGTGAACCATGAACTGTTTCTTCCCGAAAGGCCTGTCTGCCAAGCCACCCTGCCTTGGAGCCAGCCGATTATGGACTGAAACCTCTACAAACTGTGAGCTACATAAACCTTTCACCTTTAACTTTGGGTGTTGGGTATTTTGTCTCAGCAATAGAGAAAAGTAACTAAGACCGTGCATGTTTGGGGTCCATAATGCTTACATTCATCATGAGGAGCCGGTACACAGCCATGACATATCTTACTTTGTGTTTTGCCTCTTCCCCTCCCTCAGCCCTTCCTCCATCTCTTGGGTCTGTCTGTCTGTCTCTCTCTCTCTCTCCCCCCCTCCCTCCTATTTGTACCTGTTTGTAGTACCTGACGATCGATCACCTTCCTCGTAGGAACTTGGTACCTGTGTACACAACACACCGCAACTCTCCCTCTCGCTTTCCATCTCATTTTCTTCCCCTTCCTCCCTCGATATCTTGGTTCCCTTCTCGTATGCTAAAGATCTACTGTGATAGCTCCTATTGTCTATCTTTTATTTTGCTATTTATATTTCAGATTCTCATGTAAGAAAACCATGTAATATTTAAGTTTGTGTGCCTGATTTATTTCACTTAACATGGTCTCAAGTGCATCCATTTGCCTACAAATGGCTCAAATTTATCCTTCTTTATGGCAGAGTAGTACTCTCGTGTGTGTAAATCACATCTGCTTTATCCATTCATCTGTTGATGGACATATAGGCTACTTCCAAGAGTTAGCTGTTAAGAATTGTGGTGGTATAAATGGGGTATGCATGGATCACTGTACTATGATGTCTTCAGCTCTTTTGGGAAGAGACCTAGAAGGGGAATAGCTGGGTCAAATGGAATTTCTAGTTTTAGTTTTTTGAGGAATCTCCATACCAATCTCCATAATGGTTGTACAACTTTACATTCCCACCAACAACGCAGAGGGTTCCTTTTTTAACTCCTACTTTGTGCCCTGCCATTTTTACTACATATTCTGTTCAACATCTAATCAGCTGGCATTATCTTCAGGTCGGACTTTACAACTAGGCTGAGACCCAGCAGATCAAAAGCTACCTCACTCGCCCTGCACACAGTGGCACTTAACAAATGTTTACTGGATGAATGGACAATTTTTTCCAATGACCCCCACAGCGAAAACAGTTTGGGTTTTTATTTCCTCCCAACACCCTCACAACGTCCTAATTTTGAAGAGCTTTACAAAGGGGGCAGTGGGGCACAGTTCAACCTCCATCACTGACGAATAGGAAGCCCAAGGGTGTTATTTAACAGGCAGCTTGTCTTTCAGATGAAGGACACAAAGACAGCACATAACAGCAACTTATTTAGTATTTCAAAAGATAAAACATCAAAAGAGATGTCGTATGAGTCCCTGGAACTGTCTGAACACCAATAGCGGTATAGTCACATGGACACCGAGCAGGACAAATGTTCCCCAGACCTGAGCACCTGTGTCTTCTCCCCAGCTGCACCCTGGGTCAGGGTACCCTGGTCCCTGACCTGAGTAGGTGGGGTTACTCACAACCATCCCCCTCCTCATCCTGTGCTGCCCCTTCCCACACTACTGGCACAAGCTCTGAAGTCCTCACCGTGGTCATCAGGATGGACACCTGGTCCCCTGTGCCCCTCACACGGCTCTCCCGCCTCGCTGAGTGTGCAGAGCCTTCCAGCCCGGTGCTGGCCCTGCCTGCAACTTCCTTCCTGGCCCTTTTCCCAGCTCACCGTTCAGATCTTGGCTTGTATGTTAACCTCCTAGCAGGTGCCTTCCTTCCTGGTCACCTTGTAGAATAAAAGTACCTCTTCATTCACTCATCAACACATTCTGGGTTTTTTTCCTTAACTGTTCATAAGTATCAGCATTTTAAGATTTTTTTTAACTTCTTTAAAAATAAGGAGAATGTGATTCAAAGATTCTCTGTCCCCTGTTCTCTGTCGTAGGCCAGCACTCAGTGCAGTAGCTGGAACACAATAAGAATGTAACAGGTATGCGAAGGGAGGGAAGAGCAGGGGAAAGGAAAGCAGGAAGGTAGAGAGGAGGGGGAGGAAGGAACACAGTCGTGATTTCTATGAATCTTCTTTCTTTCACCCTCTGACATCCATTCATTGTCTTAGAGAAGAACTGCCTTCCGGAAGTTGAGAATTAACAGATGTATTTCATCAGCTGCAGTAGAGAGGAGAGTGAGGTACAAGGCATCTTTTATCTCACAGCATTGGTACCAAAGATGTTGAACCAGATAAATAAAGCGACCTTGCTGATAAACACAGGAAGTATAGCTTCTTAACTGTTTCCATCCAGGTGGCTACTGCCTATCTCAGTCCCGGACCCCAGGCAGGAGGGACAGGGTTAAATAGCATCCGCCTGCACTGCCTGCTGGCTCCCCAGGGCCTGATCCCCCTCCCTGGCTCCTCTCTCTCCACTAACCTTGGAATACTGTTTTTAAATGCAATCAGTGTGAGAGCTGGAGAGAATTCTTTACCGAAATGTCACAAATATTTTCTGAGTACCATGGAAGAACACTATAAAACACTCATTTTTAGATAGATCCTACACCCTGGTAAACTTAACAAAGGCATTTGAAAGGACTTTGTCTTGATAATATACTCGGAGTTGGTTCCTCCCAGCCTACAGGAGAATGGGTCAGGAGCATTGTGCCCTTAGCAAGCGAGAAGCCCGTTGTGCCTCTGACCACTGACTTCCTCCCTCTCTCCTGCAAGTCACCCTTGAGTCATCTTTCCTCCTACGTGTACTCGGGCTCCCCAGCTGAGTCTCTCTCTCCTCCCGTTCTGTTTAATAATGAATGTTGGCATCTCCCAAACCTCACTCCTACATCCCAACCTCTTTCACAATAAGGGCCACACTGAGGATGTAAAGACAGCAAACACTTCACAGGATCCAGGCAGTGTTCTAAGCAATATTCTCAAACTTTCTTATCTATGTTATCCAAGCCAGTGAGGATCTACCTCCTCCTAGAGTCTCTATTCCACAGGAGGAAGCAGAGATGCTGAGAAGTTCAACAATGTGTCCACCTGGGTCTCACAGTCAGGCAAGGACAGAGCCGGGATAAAACCTCAGCAGCAAAACACCACATACCTCATTTCATGGACATTGTCCTGCACTAGGGATTCTCAACGGGGGCCAGCCCTGAGGGAGCAGTTGGAAATATCTGAAGACACGGAACTAGCCACCCTGGACATCAGCAGTGCCAAGGCTGAGAAACTCTGCCCTGGACCATTTTTATAACCTCATGCTAGGAGAGCTCACCCACACCCATAGCTTTAACTTCCATCTGTAGACTAATATACACCAGAACTCATGTTCTTAGCCTGGATTTCTCTGGATTTATAACTTTCCTTGGGATACAACTTAGCATCTCCATTTGAACATCACAGATTCAGTGTCCCCAAAATCAAACTCATGAAGCTCCTCCCACTAAAAACTATTCTCCATGGTTTCCAAACTCAGTAAATGATGCCACCATCCCATCAGTGGCACAAAGCCAGAAGCTGGGAAGACTCCTTGGTGACTCCTCCTTCCTCATTCCATCCACTGTAAGTACTACACATTCCAAGCACCTAAGTATCTCTGGAGCCCACCCATTTCCGTGTCTACCAACACCGGACTCCTGGCCCCATTTTTCCTCCGTAACATCCAGCTTGGGACATTGCAGTCACCTACTAAGCTCTGTATCATCACTTTCCAAGAGGACCTCTCCCCCATATTATGCTTTCTCAGGGGACATCATTTAAAATTGCCATGTTTATTTTTAAGTGCTTGGGAGGTATTGGACAAACCTTTCATGCAGCCCTAGAGTCATTCTCTGAGATTTCCCAGTTTGGTCACTGGCAGAGTTCTGATCCAGTCAAAGACAGGATTCTTGCCTCATTTACTGGTCAAAGTCTCAGCCAAAGCAGATGGCACATTTGAAACAGGGGGCATAGTTCACCATAGGAACTGTCTGGCGAAGGTGTGGGTGGGTACAGGGCAGACACAGGCATAGGAATCTGCAAGCAATAGCAGCCCAGCCCTGAGCCAGAAGAAGCAAGAGAGAGAGAATGATTTCCAGAATGTGGAGGGGAAAGAGTCAGGCAGAATTCCTCTGCAGGAAGCAGCAACTGGCTGAAGGTCAGTGACAGTCTAAGGTGTACTTGTAGCAAGGAATTTGAGAATCAGTGGCTTGGGGAGGAGGCCTGAGGCGCTGCTTATTTCTGTTTCATGATTTGGGGTGCTGGCTGCACACATATTTACTGGGAAAAGTCATTCAGTAGTACACATATGTGACACACCAATTTAAAAAATCAAAATAAGTAGCTTTGGGCTGTAGTTGTAGCTCCACGGTAGAATGCTCACTTAGCATGCCTGAGGGTCCAGTTCAGTCCCTATCACTAAATAAATAGCCTTACTGTGTTGTCCTCCCCCCTTTCCCTTCCCTTCCCACGTCCTACCGGGGCTTCCTGTTGGCCAAACCTATCAACGTGGCAAGAGAGGGGTCAAGAGTCCTACGATGTATTTCATCATCATTGCTTCACCCTGTGTGGACAGAGACAGCATGCAGAGTGTCCTTGGGATATACCGGTCTACCCAGACACCAAAAGGTGAGTCGAACATTCCCCCTACCAGCAGGCTGTGTGGAGAAAATGCCAAAGAACTTGACACTGTCTCCAGTCCAGTGAGGCAGTATTCAAGGTTCTTAGTATATTCTGCCAAGATTTCTCACCCATTCAGTAACTTCATGCTTTCTGGGTCAAGAAACCCAGGAATGTATCAAGAGCATCAGGAGGCTCCAAAGGAGGACCAGGATCCTGAATTCCAGAGCTGCAACTTGGCAATAGAATCCACACCCTCTTGAGAGTCCCCAAAGTTTGGGGAGCCACTCCTTGTCCTCTCTTCCCTAGCCTTTGGGTAAACTTTAAACCACACATGGTTACTGTACACCTGGGACAGAGCCAAGAGCTTTGCAAATATTACCTCATTTAATAGTCACAACCACTACATTATACATCTCCCTTGTCAGCTTAGCAGTCTGAGGGTTGGGGCGTGTAAATGGCCTCCTAAACACTACAATGAATTCTAAGCAATATCTGGACTATACTTAGCTCCAGGACCAGGAGGCTCAGCTCTTACAGAGAAATCCACTAGCAGGGCATTTGAGCTCCTGGACAGTGTGGTATCAGCTTCCTTTCCCAGCAGTACCAAATGAGATTTATTCACTCCTGATAAATACGGATCTTCCAGACTACCAGGCACAAATAACTCGCCTCTGGAGTCTATGGCACTCAGTCTTCATCTTGAAACATTCACCTATTTATGCACTCATGCTTTCTTCCCTACAGGGATGTACAGATCCACAGTGGCAGCAGGCACGTGAGAATCAGGCTGACTGCCCAGGCCTCCGTTTATACCCTGAATGAGCTCGGTGCTCCTTGTGACCTTGGTGATGTTTGTAGCTTTCCAGCTTCAGTTTTGACAACTGCAAAATGAGATCAACAATCCCAACTACTTAACGGGGTTCTTTAGAATATGTATGTGCGAGATTTTCCTTGGTCTTAACACATAGTAACCACTTGATAAATTGAAATTAAAAAGGCTTAGGATGTGTTTCCAGCACATACCGAGTACCGTTCCCATGCTGGGCGTTGGGACTATATTGGTGGAAGTTAGTTACGCATCATCCTGACTCCAGAGATATTAGAGCTCACAAACTACTCCCATAGGGAATTGTTCCACCTGTTTCTGGTACTCAGGGTCCCATCAGCCCCATATTATTCATCTCCTGAGAACACAAGCTCTGTGAACAAGCTCCTTTACTATAATTCTTGCATGAATTCCTCTTGCCATCCTGATGTTGGAAAGTAATGTTCTTTAAAATCTTCCTTTTGTGTTTATTCCCTGAGGACTGAAGGCCTGGCCAGCATTGTGCAGGCTATGAAAAATCGATACATTCTGTTCTGAGTGTCCCCAGAGGGAGTTATGCCCTGCTCCATCAATTTACTGGACCACATTAAAGCCCTAAATCAAAATACTGACAAGTCTTTTCCATTGTTGGGGATTTTACCAGGCTAAAGAGCTGCTTTATAAGTTTTCCACCATAATAAAATTCTGCTGCCTGCAAAAGCGTCTGCTTTCAGATGACTGAAACTATTTTATTTGGATACATCTAGTATAGGATGCCCCTGAGAATAACTGATTTATGGCTTAATGACTTTGCACACACAGTATGTTCTAAGACCAATTATCTGCAGAAAACCGCCAACTGTGGTCGATTCCAGAGGACAGCTGTGCTGAGGATTCTTGTGCTTGTACTTGTAGCCAGGAGTAGGGTGATTATTGAGTACTTCAATATCACCTAAGAGACACTTGAGCCTTTGGCACTTGATTGAAGAATGTCTCCAGTGTTCACCTTTCCCTGCGAGTAACTTAAATTTAAAGATGATACTTGCCTTCTATGCAAAGTCAAAATGGTTAAAGGATGAAATTAATGGAATAGCATATTGGAGTGGGAAGAAATTGAAACCAGGAAACCTAGCTTCCATCCCCTAGCGCTTCTGCTCAAAAGTAGACACAGATGTCACTTCTCCTCTTAGCACATTGGCCTGTACAATCAAGTAGCTGGACTAGGTCAGAAATCACAAATTGGCAGCTCATCTAGAAGAATTGGCTCCCAAATGTATTTTCCTTGGAATATGCAGTCTTAAAAAAAAAAAAAAAAACCTGAAGTGGGACATGGTACACCAAATCTGTAATACCAGAACTCTGGGAGGCTGAGACAGGAGGACAGCAAGTTCAAGCCCAACCTGGGCAACTTAATGACTTAGTGAAACCCTTTCTCAAAAAAATGAAAACAAACAAGGGCTGAGGATGTAGCTCAGTTTGAAGGCCTTGGGCTCCATCATCAGTAATGAAAATAGCCAGCATTTTTTTTAAAGTCAAGAAATTTCCAATCAAATTCCAAGTTTTAAACTTTTCCTAGAAAAAGTCAGAAAAGGTGGCCATACACAGCTTCCTGGACCCAAGTGTCAGAGCTGCGTAGCTGCTACCCACTTCTCAAGGTTTCTTAGCAATCGCAAACCCCACACTCCCTACACCAATGTCCCTGACATTGAGGGAAAAGTTATCTTCATTTCCATTCACATTACACTATTCTCTTATAGTAAAGAGTTATTGCATTTTCCAACTAGTGATAGAAAAAAAATACGTGCAGGAGCAGATAGATTATGAGAACTACCTGCTTCAATAAAAGCAGCAAAAACTGTCTCTTGAGTGTGTGTGGTACAAACACAGCAGGTACCTACAGAAGCTGGCTCCACAGAGCACTGCTCCACGTACTGCTGCTATCTGCCTGGGGTGAAGGCTTTAGAGTTTACACCTCCCAGATGAGAGCATCTCGAGGTTCACCTCTAGTTCTAGAAATCCTGTCCATTAAAAAAATCTATGCTCTTTATCTCTTAGGGTCTTAAAAGCAAGGAGAATCATTGCTCCAAGTGAGTGGACATGTTCCTGTGAGATCCAAAGGCCTGAGCCTTCCACTCTGCATCCTGCCTGTGTGTCTGAAGTCGGCAATCAGCTCACACATTCAGAAGCAGCCAGCAGGGTGACAGCTCTTATGTGACAGAATCCAGAGACAATGTCATATCCTCAGGGAACTGTAGTTCAATGGCAGAGCTCTTGCCTGGCATGCATGAAACCCTGGGTTTCATGGGGCGGGGGTGAAGGAAAGGAAAGGAATCTAAAACAACAAGAGAGGCAAAGGCCTAAGAAATGACAGGAAATTTAAGGTTTCAGTCAAGTTCTTCCACTTTTTAGCTGTGGGCCATTTGCAAGCCACTTAGTTTCTCAGGGTCTCAGATTCTCCACCTATTTGTTGGTGTACATTGTCTCCAAAAGGCATAAAACTGCATTTCCCAAGGAAAAGTTTGAAAAGACATAGAGTTTTGTATTTTTTTAAACTTCAATTGTCACGCCAAATCAAAATGTTTTTTAGCTTTTAATCGACCAATGTGTTTATGCTGTAGTTCTTTCTTTCTTTTCTTTCTTTCTTTTCTTTCTTTCTTTCTTTCTTTCTTTCTTTCTTTCTTTCTTTCTTTCTTTCTTCTTTCTTTGGTACTGGGGACTGAATCCAGGGCCTTTGCACTGAGCTATAGCCCTGGCTCTTTTTCATTTTTTTAAATTTTTTACTTTGAGACAGTATCTCACCAAATTTCCCATGCCTGGCTTGAACTAGCAACCCTTCTGCTTCAGCCTCCCAGAATGCTAGGACAACAGGCATGCAAATATATATATATATGGTCAAATCAAACTAGTTAACATGTATTACCTCACATTTATTTTTTTGGAAGTTAAAAACACTTAAAATCTGCTCTCATCAATTTTTGCATCGATAATACATTGATATTCACTATAGTACTCATATTGCTTTCAGGGAAAATAATGAAGAAAATGTGACTAACCCTAAATAAGGACGAAGGTTTCCAAACACTGGATTTATATTCTTTCTCCACCCCTCTCTCTCTCCCTCCCTCCCTCCCCTTGTCATTCTCACCCTCACTCTTTCTCTTTTTTGTTTCTAAGAGGAACTCACATGCTAAGCATGCTTAAGTCTTTGGAGAGGAAGATCTCACTATGTATTAAGTAGAAAAATATGGCGTGAGGAAATGAAATAGTATCGCCTATGCTCAGCACACAGAAATCCACCCGTATACACGGTCACGGCGAAGGGGTAAAAACCTGCTCTGCTCTTCATCAGGGCAGCAGCGACACTGTGGGGTGGAGAGTGACACTGAACAGTCACCCACAGAAAGCCGCCTCACTTCATCTGTGCACATCAGCACTTACCATGGACAGCTGGAGCCCGTGACCATGAAGCCGTGCAGTGAGACATGCTTGAGAGAGTCAGAAAATGCCCTGGAAACATGTGAAACTGTGTGTGTCTATGCATATGTTCATTTTTCAGAGTTGCTGATCTGTAATTTTCACTAAATTCTCACAGGCCCATTGCACATGCACACTCACAAACATACGAAGATGAACTATTGACACATGCCAGGTATCCATAAGGCAAAACAACTGTTTCTATACTCTCGCTGGGACAAAATTACAATAACCATATTTTTTGAAATCAAAAGTTGAGGTAGAGGCTTGAGCTCATAGCTGGACACCACAGCAGGATTTAAAATGCAGATTGTTCCAGAAAATCTAGGGCATTTGGTCATTGTAGAACTACGTGATCGGAGCACAGTGGGAGCTGGAGAACTGTGGTTTAACTGGGTTTAGGCAGGCCAAACAAGCAAGGATGTGCTCTGAGGACCACAGCATCACTGGCAAAACCAGTACAGGAAACAGGATCTTTTACCATGCTTGGTGGTGCTATTTCCATAACTGCTTTTATTCTAGCATAGGATGCACCCACCTCGGAAAAAAAATTCTAGCAATCGTCTCTGTGCTACTTAATTTTAATGGTCAACTGACTGGATCAAGAGACTCCTGGAGGGATGACAGATCACGGTTAATCCATTGATGGTCATAACTGAATGGGCTGTAAGCGGCAAGTGCAGGTGGTGGCAGAGGTGGGTGCCGGGGTGCATGGGCTGGGCTGGTCTGTCTCTCCTGGGCATTCTTCTCCTGGGCACTCTTGCCCTGCTGGGCTTCCAGCCCCCAGGAAGTGAGCAGCTTTGTCCTGTCACACCCTTCACCATGATGTTCCTGCCCTGGAGCCAGTTACCACGGACTGAAACCCCAAAACCATTAGCCAAACTAAACCCATGCTGATTTAAGTTGCAAATGTCAGGTATTTGTCTCAGCAATGGGAAAGGTGACTAACAAAGTCACCTAGCTCTGGTTTTTCTAGGCTCATTCCTCGATACTGTTTGAACAACTGTAATTTCAGAGACCTTCTTCTGAGATTGAGTCTTCATTCAAACCTCAGAATCCCAGTTGTGTTCTTTCTCACAATAGAAAAAAAAATGGAAAGGAAAATGAAAATCTTAGACTCTTAGTTCTAGTTTGTAGGTCAATCCACAAAAGTGTTTTTGGCCTCTGAAATGTTGCTTCTCAAATGGGAGCAAAACAAGCAGCAAGGATACCGCCTGGGAGCTGGCTAGAAACGCAGTCACAGGCCCTTCTGGGACTCAGAATAGCAATCTTCACTGAGCAGGATCTCAGGGAGAATTGCAGCTCCCAAAGTTCTTATGGTGACAGCTGGACAAGCCTGGTTACTCCAGCATTTTAACCAAATGCTGGAAATAGAAAAAAAATGTACCAAGTGTGAACTTGCTGTATAGACCATAGTGATGTCCCTTTTTCCTTCATAAAGAGTTTCTCTCCAGTGCTTTAATGGACTATGATGAAAAAGCAAAAGAAATACCATTCTAGATATCCAAAATTTGACTTTTAACTGTAGCCTATATCAGATCACTTTATTTCTCTAAGGCTCAGTTTTGTCTGATAAAAAACAGAATATTACTTGCTTTTATTTATTCAAACTGCTATAACAACATACCTCAAACTGTTTTTATTTGTTTGTTTGAAATAGGGCCTCTCTATGTGGTCTAGGCTGGCTGTGAACTCATGATCTTCCTGCTTCAGCCTCCTGAGTTCTAGGATTACAGGGATGCACCACCATGCTCAAGTCTAGGTAATTTATAAACAACAGAAATTTACTATGCATAGTACTAGAGGCTGAAGTCCAAGATCAAAGTGCCAGCAGATCCAGTGTGTAGTGAGAAGCCATTCCTCATATAGGTACCTTCTGTGTGTCCTCACGTGGCAGCTTGTCATGTGACAAGCTCCTGGGCCTCTTTCTTAAAGGCTCTAATCCCACTCCAAATTACCATTACATTGGGAGCTAGCTTCCAACCCAAGAACCTGGGCAAGACACAGACTGAGACCACAGGGCCATCCTCCCTGTCCATGGGGCTTCGACTCTGGGAGTGAGACCTGGGAGAGGGGCCCTGGCTACATAAACAAACTCTGGTATAAGCAGACCCAAGTACCAAGACTGTGTCTCGCATGTTTTAGCTCAGTAACTGGGGTAAGTGGCTTGTCCTCTCTGGAGTCATAACCATGAGGTGGCTGTGACAATTAAATGTTATAACATTTTAAAGCAAATGGCACTCTGTAGGCACACAGTGAGCAATCAGTAAGTGGTCTCACTGTGTAAAAGAAGTCACAAACAGAAGCACTCTGCAGAAATGGCAGTTGGTTCTCACTCACAGGCAGGCACATGAGGCCATGAGCCCTGGATGAGGACTAATGACATGGCTGGTGGCTCATGAAGAATGCCCCAGACTTCAGCAGCATTTGCCCTAAAACACTCACAGGGGCACCTGGGCCTTGCTGAGCTTCAGAGCAGCTCAGGACACCTACACTGGGCTCAGATGGCAAAACCAGCATCTCACAGAGCTTTGTAAAAGCCCACAAACTAGTTCTGAGCCCTTGCACTCCTCTGCTTACAAAAGTTAACTGTTAGGAAGTACTGCTGCTCTTTTTAGTTTCACGGAGAACTATCTTGCAGTCAATTCTAATCAACACGAGAGGTCAAGGAGCACCCAAGT